CTGAGGCTCCAGTACTTTGGCCTTCTCATGAGAAGAGAAAACTCCTTGGAAAAGACCTTGATGTTAGGAAAGTGTGACGGCAAGAGGAGAAGGGGACAACAGAGGATGAGATGGTTGGACAGTGTCATCGAAGCAACCAACATGAATTTGACACAACTCCGGGAGGCAGTGGAAGATAGGAGGGCCTGGCGTGCTCTGGTCCATGGGGTCACAAAGAGTCAGACACGACTAAATGACTAAATGACGACTAAACGACGGTAAACAAATAACGAACATATTAGAGCAAGCTAAAGCAAGGAAAAGTTGTGTTGCTGCATCATTAGTGATACTGCAAGCTTTCTCCCCAAACTTTAACCAAGTGACAGGCAGGGCATTGCCATCCAAAGCGACACTGGAAGTGTTGTATGGAGTGACGTGGTGAATCACACATCACAAGTAAAGCTTTGTCAGCTCACACTGGCCAGGGCAGGCAGGGAGGAAACAGCTATTAAACCTGGGATATCCATTTAGTTAGTTAGTTAGTTAGTATACTACCATCTGACTTTGGTCACTCTGTGCAGATCACAACACAATAAAACATAAACATAATATAGCAAAGTGCTCCAAATTAAACTAACTTAAATTAAATACAAAAATATTTAATATTAATTGTTAAAAATATTAAAAATTAAAAACAGTGTAAAAATCTCCTCCTCAAAGATAACTAGGAGGGAATTAGCTATGCCAGCACCAGAGACTTGAAGCTGCCCACTCAGGTTTAGGTATGACAGCTCAAGGCTATCCCACCCATGCCCACACAGAACACTCTGTTTAGAGGCCTACTACATGCAGAAATATTACCAGTAGTACCACTTCCAGAATTCCCATTGATATAACTGGCTCTGTTACAGAAGGCAGATTGAACAACCTCTTAAATTCATCTCAGCTGATCACCCTGAGCAATCAACAAGATTTAGAGGAAATTTAGAATGCAAATAGTGACAGCTTAACTGGCAGACACTTTTAGATAGGGCTTGGTTTTCAAAGTAGAGCTGGATTAGAAAAAAGTTAGATAGGTCTGGGTTCAGACAGAAGTCAATTAGGGCTTAGATATTAATGAGTAGAAGTTAGATAGTGCTTACATATGTGAAAAGCTACCCTGTTTCCCTGAAAATAAGCCCTAAAATGATTTTTCAAGATGCTCGTAATATAAGCCCTACCCCCAAAATAAGCCCCAGTTAAGTTAGACCCCACCCTCCACCATTGTGCAGCAACCAGAAGATGACATGACTGTATTTGAATAAATTTAGCTTGTTGTACATGAAAAAATAAAACATCCCCTGAAAATAAGCCCTAATGCATTTTTGGAGCAAAAATTAATATAAGACCCTGTCTTATTTTCGGGGAAACACAGTAGATAGGGCTTGCACTGAAAAGTAAGCAAAAAACTTTCAGCTTAGAGGGGTTTGATTAGTTCCTTCCCCCTCCCTACCACACACACATACTAAGGAATGGTCCTAGAAAAGGCTATGGGTGCTTCAAGATGTATTATCAAAAACAGATAGACATTCTAGAAAGGACTGATTCTTTAGCAAGTAGTTCATTGGCAGAAATCCTATGTAACATTCTCACCAGCTTCCCAAATAGGTGTTGTGGGGAACAAGATTCTATTCAGAAACCCGGAACAAAGATGGCTCTCTTCGGGTGCTTTATTTGCTTGTGGTATCAAGCAGAATCTTTAGAAAGGGCTTGAGGTTAAAGCCACCCCCTCGCTCCAGCAGTGCTGCTGGAGGAGATTTTGACTTTACCCCCAATCCCAGGGATCCTGCTTGATACTGGTGGGATGGGATGCAGCTAATCCCCAGCAACAGATCTGTGGATGAGTGACTGATTGAAAAGGAAAGACAGAATGTGTGCTTATGTGAGTGAGCATGTATGTGTGAATGCGTGTGTACATATACCTAAATTGAGTGTATATCTCACAGTTTGGGGGGGCTGATAATTTTGCTTTTGTTTTCAACTCTTTTTGAACCACAGAGGTGAAGTATCATACTGACAACTCTTTACTGTGCAAAGGCACTTCTATAACATTTTAACTATATTTATCAGGCTGGGGTTCCCAGTCCAAAAACATGGTTTTGAAGACCTGACTTCAGGTGGCAAGTAAGATGGCACCTGTGTGACAGCCAGTCTCCTGAATGTTTGAGAGTGTGGCTGCAAAGCTTTACTCTCCAAGGTTTCTACAAAATAAATAGGCAGCCTGAGAGCTTAAACTCTTGAAGGAGAATTTATTCCCTCTTATCGAGTGCATGGCAATCAATGTCAATAAAGACTATCACAAACCATATCAAAGGCCCCATTCAAGGCAGGACATTAATAGATGTAACCACTACAAATAGCATCTAAAAGTTATTTCCTCCAATGTCAAACCATTGGCTTCTACTGGATGGACACAAGTGGCTATAGGAACTCACCCCAAATTGCCCAGTAACCTCAGGCAAGAATGTGCCATTGAATGAGCAGCTGGAGTAAGGGCAGTCAACAATATTGAAGATTTTCTCAATGCTTGTCAAACACTTTTCATAATCCCCAGTACCCTCAATGTGGATCTGAGAGTAGGATGGTGTGGCGAAATCACTTGCTGTGCAAGGGTTTATGCGCAGGTCAGAAACATTAATGGTCCTCTCATATCGCTGTTGAAAACATGGGTCCTGGATTCTGCCAGTTGATGAATTCTGCAACAAAAATAATCATTTTAAAAGAGAAATCACTAACAAGCAGGTGAATTCTAACCGAACATGGATATAGCTGGTCTCAGAGCAAGTAACATTCATATTACTACTATTACCTATTCTTTTAAATTTTGAATACTAGAGCATTATAGAAGATATGTGCATATGCATGTGTGTGGTGATAAACAAAATGAAGACTGGGGATGAGAAGGAAATTTTTCAGGAACAAGCATGAACAAATCCTGCATGTAACATGGTTTTAAGAACCCAGGACTGAGCAGATCCAAATAAAAATCCCCCTTCAGCTCCAAATTTTACTACAGAGGTTTGTCACAGTGATCTTTTGAACTCACTTCAAACCTGGTCTATTAGGGAGGACTTTGGTGAGGATAATATTGTGGGCAGAAGGAGAAGCAAGAATCAGGTGCATCATCTTGAGTGCTGTAGAAGAATGATGTATTATATAATAAATAAGCATTATATTATAAATATAAGAGCTGGTTGAATAGCTCAGCGATTTAGGTATCTGGCTGAGGAGCCAGAGGTTGAGAATTTGATTCCCCAGTGTGCCTCCTAGGAGTACAGCTAGCCTGGGGCAAGCTGCAGAGTCCCAGGGCGCCCCCAGAAAGAGGGAAAGATAAACCACTTCTGAGTATTCTCTGCCTAGAAAACCCTGAATAGTCATAAGTCAGAATTGACTTGAGGGCACATTATTAATATTAATAATAAATATAACACAGTATTTATTATAAATACAATAATTACAGTTTTGATATGCTGCAACATATGGTACAGAAAATAGACCTCATGGTCCAAAATGCCACATTACATATAGTCCTGAATCTTTGATCCAAGAGGTACCTTGATCAAGGTATCAAGAACTCTTTGTCTTTGTCTAAAGGCCTTTTTAATTCCCCTTTTGCACATGGAAGTATTATAGAAACTGTGCAATGCAGTAAATCATAATTGTTGATATCCAGAGATAAAGTCTGAGAAGGAAAGCAAAAAAAATGCCTCTATTAACTTTCGCCAATATATAATTTTTTATTTGATTTGGCTTTGTAGTAGTTTCCACTGAAGTATTTGTCTCTCAAAATTAGACTGGTGATAATTACTACAACTTGGAAAAGTTACCTTTTAGACTATAACTCCCAGACTCATCTAGCTAGCATGAGCGCTGGGTGGGAATTCTGAAACTTATTGTATCAGATGTAAATTTTACAAACTCTGGTAATTTGCAGCAGGATTCTATGTGGATGGAGATTTCTTGTAGAAGAAATCTCCAATAATTTAGACCTTCCCAACAGAGAAGATGATAACTAAACTGGCAGGCACAAAATAGCCCACAGTACATGGGCTCCATTCACTCTGGAACAATGCCCCAACAATATTTTTAGGGGAAACGTTCAGGCTTTAAAAGATTTGGCCTTTACTTTAGGGTATACAACGTCTAAGGTCTGCCTGAATAGTCATAACCTTCAGTCACCACAGAGGGAGATACTGCCACTGTCAAGCCTGCCACTACACCAGTGAAAAACATTAACTTTTATAAAATTAGAACAAGCACCTTGAAAACAATGCAGTAATAACTGGAAGCCAGCATGGATTTGTCAAGAACAAATCCTGCCAGATGAATCTTACCTCATTTTTCAACCAGGTACGTAACCTTCCTAGTAGATGGTGGAAACGCTAGAGGCATAATATATCTTGACTTCAGAAAACCTCTGACAAACTTTCCCATGATATTGTAATTAGCAAGCTAACTAGGTATGGGCTGGATAGAACAACTGTTAGCTGAATACACAGTTGGTTACAGAACTGTACTCAGAGAGTGTTTATCAGTGGCTCCTTCTCAAATTGGGAGGAGGTAACAAGCAGACTCAATCCTGGGTCTGTTGCTCTTCAACATTTTTAATGATGACTTTGGTGAGAGGGTGCAGGGAAATTTGCAGATAACACAAAATTGGGTGGAATAGCTAATACCCTGGGAGAACAAAACAAAATTCAAAAAGATTTTCATAGGTTCAAGCACTGGGCAGAAAATGACAGAATGAAATTCAACAGCGATAAGTGTAAAGGTCTATACCAGAGGTGGGTTGGGAACAATTGCACAGTTACAATAGGGACACTTGGCTCAGTTATATTGCATGTGAGAAGGATCTTGGAGTTATAATTCACAAGCTGAATATGAGCTGACAATGTGATATGGATGAAAAAAAGAGAAAATTTATTGCATGTGAGAAGGATCTTGGAGTTATAGTTCACAAGCTGAATATGAGCTGACAATATGATATGGATGAAAAAAAAGCAAATTATATTTTAGGATGCATTAACAGAAGCATAGTATCCAAACTGTGTGAAGTACTAGTCCTCCTCTATTCAGCACTATTTAGGCCACATCTTGAGTACTGTGTCCACTTCTGGACAGCATGCAGAAGAAGGATGTGGACAAATTGAAACAATTTCGGAGGAGGGCAGCAAGGATGACCAGGGAACTGAAAACCAAGCCCTATGAGGAAAGAATGAAAGGATTGGGCATGTTTAGCCTTGAGAAAAGAAGACTGAGGGCAGATATGATCACACTTTTCAAATTCTTGAAACATTCTCATACAGAGGAGGGGTTGGGTCTGTTCTTGATCATTCCAAAGTGCAGGACACATAAGAATGGACTCAAGTTACAAGAAGCCAGATTTCCACTGAATATCAGAAAAAAATTTGCTAACTCTTACAGCAATATTACAGCCAGATTTCCACTGAATATCAGAAAAAAATTGCTAACTCTTACAGCAGTATTACAACAGAGGTGGTGATTATTCCAACACTGGAAGCGTTGAAGAGAAAATTAGACAACCATCTGTCACACATACTTCGATTTAGATTCCTGCATTAAGCAGAGGTTGGACTCAATGACCTTATAAGCCCATTCCAACGTGATTATTCTATGATTCTGTGTATGGAGAACACATGCCTTCTTTCCAAAGTCTTTCAAAAATGCTGCCAGCTTTGTAGACAAGTCATATGTGCCCCGTGCACTTTGTCTCTATTGAAAATAACACTTTTTTCCTCTTTAAAAAAAGAACCAATGTTTGCTGCTACTGCAGATTCAAGAGGGCAATCCTTGGTGGATGCAAATTGAAGGAGGACAGCCCACAGGCTGCACATTGCCCACCCTCGTCCACAGGCTGAATGTTGTTCACCTTAGTCGACATTCGTAGATGAAACAAGCACATCATAATAGGTTATATCCAGAGATGGGCATGAATAAAAAAAGATAGTGATTTATTTTGATTTTTGATTCACCAAGATTGATGAATCACGAATTATAAATTTATGAATTTTTCTGATCAATTCTTCAAATTTAATACCCTGTAAAATGCCCCGAAGGACCTAGAGACACCAAATTCACAGGAAAGCTTTCCCTGGCTCTTCTCAATAAGCTCTGCAAGTTTAGTGAAGTTTGGGTTTTGGATGTCCAAGTTATACATCCACAAGGAGAGCCCCTCCCCCCAGGAAAGTTTCCTGCAGGTAGCCAGAGACACCAAAATCACAGAGAAGCTTCTACCGACTCTCCTCTATAAGCTATCCACATTTGGTAAAAATTGGGCTACAGACATCCAAGTTATACATCCAAAAAGTGGGTCCCCCCAGGAAATTGCCCTTTAGCAGCTAGTTTGGGGAAAATCCTGCCAACCTAGCAATTTGAAATGCAAGTAGATAAATAGGTACCACCTCGGTGGGAAGGTAATGGTGTCTAGTTGCACTGGCCATGTGACCACAAAAAATGTCTTTGGACAAATTGCTCTACGGCTTGGAAACGGGGATGAGCACCGCTCCCTAGAGTCCGACATGACTGGACTAAATGTCAAAGATAATCTTTACCTTTTCCTTACCTTGGGGAAAATGAATCTTCACCAAACTTGGAGGGACTGTAGAGGAGAGTCAGAGGAAGCTTCTCTGCAATTTTGGTGTCTCTATGTACTTTGGGGGATGTTTTATAGCCAAACAAATAAGTGAATAAAATGGTTAAAATTGATTGATTCATCAGGGGCATTGATTCGTACAAATATGAATCAACAAATTAGCAATTTTTGAATGAATATGGTGATTCATTTTTTGATTTGTGGCCATCTCTCATAGACTTCACTCTCCATTTCTTAACACACTGTTGCCACTCCAAACTTACCAGGACATCTTTGAGCACTTTAAGGCGGAGTGCCTGGTCCTTCCCATAACACAGGAAGCTGTGTGTATACACAGTGTAGTTCTTGCCATAGAGATAGAAGTTCAGTGTATCTTCTGGTGTCTCAATCTTGTCCTGATCTGGTACAAAGGTGATCTGTGTTGAGGCTCCTCCAAGATCCAAGGCCCCAGTTGTCCCAGTACTGGAGAAGGTATGAGGCAGAATACGTGGCCACACTGACTGCAAAACCAGATTGAAGAAAACAACAAAGCCAGGTCAAGGGATAGAAGAAGCAGTCTGACAGTGGAAAGCACTTCATAGGACCCAGAAAATGAAAGTGGATGTGGGGGGCATACCAGAACCGAGATGTTAGGACACGTAGAAGTCTGTTGATGAGAACAGGTCTGTTGATAAGAATAAGGGAAATGCAAGTCTGAAGCATGGGGGGTATTCAGGGCAAGAGTAGAAATGGACATCCTTCAGCAGAGCTGAAGACAGTAAATTGTAACATGATGTATGGCTTACTGGTAATAAGCTTTGGAAATGATGCATAGAAATGTGTATATTTTCCATTCTGTTCTATAAAGCTGTATACAGTGGAATGTATTTCCTCTGACCCAATAGGGTGATACTACAGTGGAGGAAAGATCTAGCGAGTGTCCAGTGTTACAGAACAACATTTTTTCTATGTAGTCATCTACTATTGTTAACAATTATAAAGTCATTAAGTCCCTATTCTATCTCCCCAATCTTTAATAGTGTTTGGGGTCCAGATTGTCTGTATCTCCCTATATGAGCCAACCTGGACTTGTGGGGAGGACCTTTGTAAGAAAAACTGGTGAGGATGGAAGACAGAGCCTTTTCAGAGGTTGCTCCTAGGTTGTGGGATGTCCCCTCCAGAAGATCAGACTGCCCTCTACCTTCTCTTCTTCAGGTGCCAGGCAAAGACCACCCATTCTCAACAACTGAACACACCCGCGTTTTTCTTCCAGGATGCTGTTCCCTTCTTTTCTTTTCTGGCAAGTCCCTAGTTTTCTGAGTCTTTTTAAATAGTCATTACTAACATTTTAAAGATTGTTATATGTTTAAAATTTTTTAAAAGTTTTAACATATTATGTTTTTCTTGTTTTGGAAAACATCTTACATACAACTATGTTTTGCAGGGAATAACTGTGAACTGCAGGGTTTTTTCCCTCACCCCTCTTCATCTAACAAGAAGTGGTATGATGAACTTTGCCAATATATGTTGAGGTGTTCGGTGTCCTATTGCACTGTCTCAATATTTTGGCAGCTTTCCTCTGTTACAAGTATGATGACATACTTTACATATGTCCCTAGGAGGTGTCACTATGTGTGCAAAAGTACATCTTCTTTCCAACCATTTCCTCATTCACAGTTCCAGTCTGCCCAGCTATTTACTCACTCCTCCATCAGTCTCATTGCACCACAGATAAATCCTGCTCTTTTCTGTTTAATCTGAGTTCATTTTTACATCTCCATTATGACTCTACTTTTACTCTCTCCTTAGTATTGACTACATGTGCTGTCATGAGGACATGTCAGTAAAACTGCATAAAAACATGATTAACTCTAGACACAAGGCACAAGACCCCAGTGCCAGGCTCTGGCCTCATGAAACAGTTTTAGAATATAATCATAGAATTGCAGAGCTGGAAGGGACTCTATAGATTATTGAGTATGGGAGGCACAGTCGGAAATCAAATTCTCAACCTTGGCTCCATTGCCCGATACCTAAACCATTGAGTTAACCAGCAGTTCCATATGTTTGACTTATTAACTGAAACACTTTTGTGCAGCTCTGCATGCATAATGCAAAGCTGTGGCAGCATTAGTGAAAAGCACAGTACAGTAGAAGAGCTATTCACAGAACACTTCCACATGTGTGCTGTGCAATGGTCATGAGAGGTGCCGTACAATCAACTGCATAACCTTATTGCATAATGTTGGCTGCCTAAGTGAAAATGCCCAGCATGTATATACTGGCTAACTTTACATTACACAAGAATGTACAGGATTTCAGCCACTGTGGTCTTTCCCTGACATTACAGGTATGAACACACAGGGAAATAGATCACAATTTGGACTGCTTGTGGAGTGGTCCAGTGCAATCTATTTCCTGGTAATTGTATGATGCATGGAGAAATGGGCTCCAGCTGTAGTTGTAATAAAAACCTTAAAGGAAAGAATTTAGCATCCTGTGGGAAGTAGTGGGATGATAACTAGCATCTTCATTTTTTCCAGATGTTTTTTACAAGAAAAAGCCCTATCAAGGGCTAAAAAACAATACAAACATAGAAGCAGGCAGTACCTTTATGGGACTACTGGGGAAAAAAGGAGATAGCTAGCTTTCAGTGGTGATCCATCTTCATTAGGTTTTGCACCAAAAGCATGTGTAAAATTATGTGTTGAAGTCTCAAAGTTTCATGACATGGTGGTTGTTCATGCCAGGCAAAGTTTTCTTAGGGTGAGTTGAGCTATATGCAAACAGCTTCGGAACAGTGGGTGGCTGCAAACTCCTCTCTAAGCAGCATCTTGGAATTTGTCGTCCATATATGCAAACAAAGAACCACCAAACAATCTGTATTCTCCTCTCCCTCTGTCTAGAAGGATCATCTAGGAGCACCCTCTCTAAGCAGCATCTTGGAATTTGTCGCCCATATATTCAAACAAAGAACCACCAAACAATCTGTACTCTCCCTCTGTCTAGAAGGATCATCTAGGAGCACTCTCCACCTGTTATGGCATTTCCGTGCTTTGAAAAGCAATGGGTTCTGGGAGTTGCAGTCCAAAACTCCTGAGTAACCCAAGGTTAAGAACCAGTGCTGTTATTCTGTTATTCATTCATTCATTCATTCATTCATTCATTTAAATTTCACAGACTTGGAAAAAAAGAGCAAGGTGATCAGATCAAGAGTGTCATTCATTCATTCATTCACTCATTCATTCATTTATTTAAATTCCACAGACTTGGGAAAAAAGAGCAAGATGATCAGATCAAGAGTATTGCCTTAAGATAGTGACACAGAACATGGAAAACCCTGCTAGCAATGCCAGGAACACTGCAGCTTTTAAAGTGATAAAAGACCTTCATGAGAGCTCAGGAATCCTAGCAGAGTAGAAGAGATCTAACTTTTACTCCACTGTACTGCTTTCTGCACAGCTGGATCTTGGGAAAAAAGAGCAAGATGATCAGATCAAGAGTATTGCCTTAAGATAGTGACACAGAACATGGAAAACCCTGCTAGCAATGCCAGGAACACTGCAGCTTTTAAAGTGATAAAAGACCTTCATGAGAGCTCAGGAATCCTAGCAGAGTAGAAGAGATCTAACTTTTACTCCACTGTACTGCTTTCTGCACAGCTGGATTTTAGGAAGTGTGTGTGTGTGTGTGTGTGTGTGTGTGTGTGTGTGTGTGTGTGTGCACACAGAGAGAGAGAGAGAGAGAGAGAGAGACCCCTGTAACTGGATGGCCTTATCCCATTAAAAAAACCTGCATTCTCTGTTGCACAAACAATAGCCTAAAATAGCCCAGAGAACAGAAAGCATAGTAATAAATGGAGGAGGCAAGGGAACTCCTTTCCAACCACCTCACTTGTAACAGTGTTCAAGGTGGCAATGCTACCTACATTTCTGGGTGTTCAGAGATCATTTAATGTGTCTCCTTGCACTAGTCACATAATCACTGGGTCAACTGACTGATATAGAACATACACATCAGCTATCAAACTTGTACAATGATCTGATTGTTTAAGTTATAAAAAGAGGAAGATATGTAGTGCATTTCAGTTTCAGAGGCAACCTAAGGGTCAGATCACATGTTAAGACAACTGCCATATTTCTTCCTATTAACAATTTTATCTCTCCAGCTCTCATATCAGTGGCTGAAGACATCAGGTATGCAAACAAACTGTGCTAGCCAGACAGTCTTTTCCTCTTAAGAGACTCTTTCTTTCTAGTAATAACTGAATTGTCCAGTTTGCCTTATAGAAAGAATTCTTAATACAAAACAGCAGCAATATGTTTGCTTTCTGTTGTTTCTGCTACAATACTATGATCCTTCTGGAGACTGTTTCACATGTATCACATTTTCATACTTTAAAAGTGGAGTTGGAGTCAAGAAAAATTGAAGGGAAGCAAAGCGAGGCCCAGCTTACTGGTGCAGGACTTTTTTTTTTGACATGACACATTACCTCTTTGAAATTTCCCAGCAGATAATTAAGGGTGATCCAGCCATAGGCACCTTCTTCCTTACCGCTGAGGATCCTGGCACCCTGGAACTTGAAGGGGTATAAGCATAGCGTCTCCTCTACTGCAGAAAGGACCCTTTTAGCAGTTTCTGCATTCTCCATTCTGCATATAAGGGGGAAAAGGGGTGACAGTGTTATACTACGATCACCAGCTGCCCAGGGCCCACTTCTGATGCTCTACTTCCTCCTTGGTTGTTGTTGTTTTAAGTCCATGATGGAGTGAAAAAAACAATATAAGATGTGTATGTCTGTTATATAGGGTAATACAATGTGGTAGTAACAACCAAAATTATAAAGAAGGACTGTAAATGGTTTTCCAAGAGGCAGACAGTAATTATATCTTGTTCTGCCTAACATTACAAAAGGAAGGACATGCATTCTTTGCCTTTTTCTAGAATGTTTTCATACAAGCATCTTTTAAAATAAAAATGACATAAGAAGCAGTTTTCATGCCACTGTACCCTGTTGTTTCCAGGTCAGGCATGTGTGATATTACAAGGACTCTCAGGCATACGTTTACATCTCTAGGGATTTGCTAAGTGTTGGTAATACTGGCATTGAAAGTAGGCTGATAACCTGCAGAATAACTCCTTGAGTGATGGTGACAATTATGGGTAGCAATAACTCAATTAGATGTAGCAATAACTCTAGGCAGCGTGGTGTAGATGGCAGATAAAGGAAATTGAGAGTTGATGTTTCTCCAGTCCCCACTTGCTTTTGTGTGTGCAAACATGGGAAGACTTGAGGCTTGCAAGATCAACTCTGCATCTTCTTAGAAGATCCATGTGGCATTTATGTGAGGTCAGCTAACTTGAGAAATAAGAAACAAGCAGCTTTGGAACACACATGCTCAGCCCAGGAAGCTGTGTTTAGTTCCAGAATCCTCCTGTATAAAAGGAGTGCAGGGAATACTTGTCAAATTTGCAGATGATACCAAATAGGGCAGAATAGATAATACCCTAGAAGACAGAAACTAAATTCAAAATGAACTTGATAGAATGGAACTCTCTCTTCTAATGATGAGTTATAATAATAATATTCTTAGAACTGCACAGCTGGAAGAGACATGACACATTATCTCTTCAAAATTGGTAGGAGGTATGGATCATCAGAAAAGACCCTGATGTTGGGAAAGTGTGAAGGCAAGAGGAGAAGGGGACAACAGAGGAAGAGATGGTTGGATAGTGTCATTGAAGCAACCAACATGAATTTGACTCAACTCCAGGAGGTAGTGGTAGACAGGAGGGCTTGGCGTGCTCTGGTCCATGGGGTCACAAAGAGTCAAACATGACTAAAGAACTAAACAGCAACAAATGGATCATTGAGTCTATCCCCTGTCAAAGAGGCACAGTGGGGAACTGAACTCCCAGCCTCTACCTAAACCACTGAGCTATTCAGCATTTCATCTGTAGCATACAAGTTACCTTGCAGTTTAATACCAAGACACAGTCACAAGCAATGTGTGAAAGAAGGAACATTTGTAAAATGCAGGAGTTCGACAGGGAATATTTAACTAAGTCCTGCAGGAGCAGGAGAAGAAAAAGCCAAACAGGAAATAGATGAAATCTACTTGTCAATGCCAACCTCAAAGAAACATCTGAAAACTACCACCCATTACCTCACCCCAGCAAATACTGCCTTTTAAAATAGCGTGGTCTGCATTTTAGTCTCATACCTCAGCAGCCGCATGCCTGCAGTTGCTCCCAGGTAAACTGGTGTCTCATGATGTTTTGCCTGTGGCACTATCTCTTTTGCCCAATCCATGCAATGCTTAAGGGAGACACCAGCTTTTTCCACAGCACCAGCATAAGATGAAATTCCTGGACCTAGAGTGAAGAAAAGCAGTGGTTTGTCCGCTAGTTTTAGTCCAGAGTTAATATGCAGGAAAAGTAACAACTCTATTCCAAGGTAATTCAAATTCTTCAAGGAAAAAGAAAAGCTGAATTGTTTAATTAGTCTAGGCTTTGAACTGAAGGGTAGGCAATTTGTGACCACTTCATCAGCACCAGCCAGCACAAACAATAGTTGGAGATTATGGGAACTGCAGCTTATCAACATCTGGAAGGTTGCCCATTCCTCCTGCATGGTCTACATTATTTAAATTTGGGTATATGTTTTCACAAGCATGAAAGTCACTGCCAGTTCTTTTTTTGGAAAGGAAAACCGGGCTTTTTAGGGCCATATAGGGACTACCACATTCAGCAGTTTATGACTATGTTGGCCAGCCACACACATGCCTGATTCAGATAAAAGTTAAGTAAATAAATTATGTTTTAGGGGATTGGTTCCCAACTTTGGGAAACCCAGGTGTTCTTGGGCTGCAATTCACAGAAACCTTCATTACTAGCTGTGCAGACTGGGGTTTCTGGGAATTGCTTTAGGGCCTCAGATTACCAACAACCTCTAAATACAAAAAAAAATGCACACCTCCCTGCACTTTCCAATTTCAAATTTTATTAACTAATTTGAAATAAAGAAAACCTCTAAAACAGATAGGCTGAAATCCTGTTGCACAAAAGGCATAATTTTTAGAGGCAAATTGCCGTATATGAAGAACCCACCGTTAAGAAATCTCTGCACCAAAATGGATAGATTGACATTGAAAATCAAAGGAAAGGAAGATGCAGAATATTATCAAACATCGAACTTGTTTTATCAATGGTTAGAAGCCCATTGTATAGATTAAGAGCTTAATATATATTATAGTTGTACAGTATTAACAAATGATTATAAGCTGAACCCAGGTGACACAATGTTAAATAAGCATAGATGGATTGTATACATAATAATAATAATAATAAAAAAAAGAAAATTTAATTAAAAAAAAGAAATCTCATTATCTGTTGCACACCAACCAACCTATCCCTAGAAGAGAGAATTATTTTACTGCTGAAAGTATTTAATGGTCATAAGCTAAGGATTTTACAAATCAGTTTACTTTCTTTTGTGACTGGTTGAAAGACTCAGCCTGCACCAATGTCTATGGTTGTTCCTTAACTTGCAGCCATTCACCTCTAAAAGTCATCTCTTTCACCTAACTGTGCAACAAGATTTCTGCCATAGTAGTTTTCTGGTATCTCACATCCTGATATGGCCACAGCTGCCTAGATAAAAAGAGAACAATTTTCACTTTTTGTGACAAGAAGAAAGTGTGCTATTGTCATCCTTTCTATCCAATCAATACATTATGTCCAAAACTGGGAAAAGTTATCTTTGTTGAACTTTCAATGGCCAGAGCCTCCATCCAATAAGGCCACAAGCTGGAGAATTCTGGGAGTTATGGTCAAAAAAGAGGAATAGCTCCAAGCTCGGAGGACACATATACTGCACCTTCCTTTGATCCTATGAATATTTGCCCCAGGGCTCCCATTTCCTTACCTTCCACTTCACAGGCATGCACTTGCTCAACCACTCCAGTGTCATTCTCTTTCTCTGCTGGCCATTTATATATGTACATGTTAGTGTGAGAAGAGCCAGCATCCAGCACAACCCCATACTACAAAAGACACAGATCGACAACATTATTCCACAAAACTCAGCCTATTGGGAGGATGTGGGGGAGGATGTGGTGGAGATCTAAATCTATTTAGAATGTTATTCATCCTTTCTTTCAATTAGCTAAAACAAAAGCTATGTTTGCCCATTGTTTAAAAATGCAAATCTATTTCTTCTGCTTCCTATTTTTTCTGCAAACCATATTGCATATTGAAAATAGCGGATAGTGTCAGTCTACATTTAAATTCTGTGGTCCTATAAGCCACTGATCCACCTGCATAGGTTATAGAAAGCTCATGTCCATAATGAGAAGCCATGATTGTTGTTCATTTAAGACTCTCCTGACATTTGCAGGTCATCATTTGTCCTCCTCCAAGAGCATACTTTTTAATTCAATGCATGAAAATGGTGTGACATGTAGGATCTTTGAATCCAACTCTCTGAATGTTCTTTCCACCTGGAGAGATGCAAACTCTAGCCAATGTCTAGCACCAGCACTAAATTGTTAATGTACTGCAACCAACAGAAGAGCATTACAATTGATATCAAAATCCTAGGCCAGTAAAAATTATCTCAGGTATACATCTGGTGGAAAATTAGGAACAACAAGGGAACAGAAGCGTTGTGGGAAATGCTCTGTGAATGTTTTAAATACCTTGTAACTAAGAGCTTAAGCTGATGTTTCACAAACTTTGGCAATCGTTCCAGAATATTTGAAGAGTAAACAAAGACAGCTCAGTGGTATAGGTATCTGGCTATGGAACCAGAGGTAGGGACTTCAATTCTCTGCTGTGCCTCCTGCAAGAACAATGTGCTGTACAGCCATGGGCAAGCTTCACAGTCGCAGGGTGCCCCCAGAAGACAGGAACGGTAAAACACTTCTGTGTATTCTCTATCAAGAAAACCCTGAAAAGGGTCACCGTAAGTCTGCATTGACTTGACAGCATGCAATTATATATAGTATTTATAAACAAGGAATAAGAGCAACACTGAGCCTCCCAATGCCAACTGCCATGGAACAGTAAGTATATCCTATATGGCTGACTTTTCAAAGCATGCCTTAAGTTACTCTGAGCACACTATAGAATTCCCTGGCACACCATCCTAGAGCTACAGGAGGACACCCTTCTATAACTTACCTTACTGTTCCTTGAAAAACGATGGTTTTGTGTAACAGCTACGGTGATTAAAGCAATTATGGCCACCGTCAAGAGAAACCCTGTGATGATATATTTGGGCCGGAAACACTTCCTTAGCTTGCTGCCTGTAATTACAGCAAAGAAAATGTGGTATTAAAATAGTAACCACACAGCATAGCAACCTAAACTTGAAAATAAGAATCTCTGCATGAAAAAGTTATTTCTAACTCCCAGAATCCCCCAGTCAGCTTGGCTAGGGACTGGGAGATTCTGGGAGTTGTAGTTGTGAAAACATATGCTCCTAAAAATACTAATTATCTAAACAGACACAGATTTTCTCCCAGTTATCACACATATCTAGCTGTCAAAAACTGATTTTCTCTTTCTAATATGAAGAGGTGATGTTGCAGAAAAAAAACAAATGATGGCACTAAACAAATCCTGTCCAATATATTTTTGAAGGCTTTCACAGCCAGGATCCGATAGTTGTTTTTTTTCCAGGCTGTTTGGCTGTGTTCCGAAGGTGTTTCTTCCTAACATTTCCCCAGTCTCTCTGGCTGGCATCTTCAGAGGACAGGAGTTATAACTCTGTCTGTAGAACACAAACAAAGTTCAAATCATGTCCTCTGAAGATACCAGCCATAGAGAATGGCAAAACGTTAGGAAGAAAAACCTCCAAAACATGGCCAAATAGTCCGGAAAAAACCCGCAACAACCATCAAATCCTGCCCACTCTGAGAATGGAGCCTACTTCAGTAAAGCTGGCAGACATCAGTTTCCACTCACCACACCAGTTTTAAGTCCACATGTTAGATCTCAGTCCAGCTGTGCAACAAGCTACTATGCCTTTGTTTTTATTTGTGGCCTCTGCATTTTGACAGAGGCTATGTTGAGAGTGTTCCTAGATTTGTCTCTGTGCCTGGATGCAGCAACATCCAGAAGTGCATATGCACAATTAAAACTGGTATGCCAGCTGCATCTGTTCCTGGAGAGATCTGATCTGGCCATGGTGACACATGCCTTAGTTACATCCCAGATGTATTACAGTGACACACTCTATATGGGGCTGCCTCGAAATAGTGTCTGAAAACTTCAGTGGGTCCAAAATGCAGCAGCCAAATTGTTAACTGGGGCTGGTTATAGGGAACTGTATAACTCCTATTACAGGCTGCTGATCCATATCCTGGTACAATAACTCAGCAGCAGCCAAACACAGGAGGCCAGGCTGGTCCTATCTTTGCTGCCCTTCTGCAAACAGGTGAAGATATTTATCTTCAGGCAAGCTCTCGCTCAGTGACATACTGCTTTGAATGCATTTTGGTACTGCTTTTAAAAAACAATTTCTTAGAGTTGTATTTTATAATCCTTTTCAGTATTTGTCTCTATATATTGTTTTTAGCTTTAAATATTGTCTTTTAATGATGTAAGCTGCCTTTTAAGGAGAAAGAAAGAGTGTGTATATATTCCTTGAACATGTTTTTGACCCTTAAAAGTTGTTCTGGCAGAACTGTGCATCCGTCTCAAAATGCTGACAACAGTGAGATAATCAGGGTGGACACAGTGGGAGTCCCAAAGCAGTTTCTTATAGAACTCTAGCTGTATCAGTCCAAAATATATATTCCTGGACTGATATAGCTAGAGTTCTACAAGAAACTGCTTTGGGACTCCCACTGTGTCCACCCTGATTATCTCACTGTTGTCAGCATTTTGAGACAAATGCAGAGTTCTGCCAGAATGACTTTTAAGGGTCAAAAATATGTTCAAGGAACATGGCATTCCACCAACCACAGGATTTTCTTGTGTTTAGTCGTTTAGTCGTGTCCGACTCTTCGTGACCCCATGGACCAGAGCACGCCAGGCCCTCCTGTCTTCTACTGCCTCCCGGAGTTGTGTCAGGTTCATGTTGGTTGCTTCGCAGACACTGTCCAGCCATCTCATCCTTGGTCGTCCCCTTCTCCTCTTGCCATCACACCTTCCTAACATCAAGGTTTTTTCCAAGGACTTCCAAGGATTTTCTTAGTAAATTCATAATACTAGTTTTGGCTAACTGTGTCCACCCTGATTATCTCACTGTTGTCAGCATTTTGAGACAAATGCAGAGTTCTGCCAGAATGACTTTTAAGGGTCAAAAATATGTTCAAGGAACAAGGCATTCCACCAACCACAGGATTTTCTTAGTGAATTCATAATACCAGTTTTGGCTATGTTGCAAATTTTATTATTTTCACAGTGTCTGTCTTAATAAATATACTCAACATAATTTAGAATCTTCTTTTGAACTCTAGACTAAAAGTTGGAAGAATTATTTTCTTTCTTCCTTCTTCCCCATACCAGCATCTCTGATATGACAGAAGTTATTCTTTTGTTCAGCATAAACGTCAAGATTTCTGAGGATGGAAATCAGAGGCAAGGAAAGATAGTCACTGCTAAACTATATAGGAAATTTTGTAAAAGCTTAGAGCCGCAAGGAAAGATAGTCACTGCTAAACTATACAGGTAGCCTATTGTGCATAAATAATAAATAAGATGCTAGCTCTTTGGTTGCAATATTCAAAGCTTTTGGTCAAAACACAATTGCAAATGTGCTTTTGGAGACAGATCTGCAAACTATTACACCTACAGATATTAACCTTTTTTGTTTTTTTGCCAGTCGGCAAACAGAAAATACAATAAAAAGTGAAAAACAGACTTTCTCAATGCAGTGGTAAGCAAAAGAAGAAGGCTATGTTTAGTTGGCTCAGAAATACTTCTGTTATAACCAATTAACCTATCTTGGGCCATTACTGTAGTTCAGAAACCACAAGAGAAATGGAATCACCAGCTGGCTGAACTGCCTATGTGCAAAGGGACCTCCCCTACAGATCTTTCTCTTGTAGGTGCCTGATGTTCCCCCCTTATACTCTGGCTGTGGTTATGTAAAATTCTCTTCCCTGCTCTCTCAGCCAAACCAGACAGACAGTGCAGTCCTAGTCATGTCTACTAAGTGATAAGCCCCATTGAGTTCTATGGAGATTATTCCCAGGAAAATTTGTAAAAGCTTAGATTCAACTAGGGTTGGCCCTGGAAAGCTTTATTATTAAAAGAAACTGGAGGAGCATAATTACGCATAAATGTTGGCATGACGATGCACAAATAAATACATTGGGAGGGAATAAGAAGTCATTTTATATATAAAAAACTATTTTGTAAGTACTGTTCCTATTCCCCACTGTCCCAATTCCCAGTGTTTCTGTTTTTATACATTTATGTGTCCTCACCTGGACTTCTCCAATTCTATCCACACCTAAATGTTGGCATGACGATGCACAAATAAATACTTTGGGAGGGAATAAGAAGTCATTTTATATATATAAAAACTATTTTGTAAGTAGTTCCTATTCCCCTCTGTCCCAATTCCCAGTGTTTCTGTTTTCATACATTTATGTGTCCTCACCTGGACTTTTCCAATTCTATCCACACTGAGGAGGAGGATCACAAGCAAGTGCTGCATAATTACTGAGGTCTATTTAATGCCATTTTGAAGTGCAGCTCTATTGGAAATAGAACAAAGAACCTGCAACTTAATTCTGGTTCTTAAAGGTATTACAGCTATCCTCGTTGAATCAAAAGGCTTTTGCTTAAAATTAGCCAGAGCTTAGCTTCAGAAAACTTCAGAGGTGATGATCTGATTCTAAAATAGAAGTGGGAAGGAGGCACTCCAGGATGTATTAGCAGATCTGCAGGTGCTTTGCAGAGTTTCTGACTCCGTTATATACTAAGAAAACTGGGGGGGAAAACCAACCTCTAACATAAATTAGGCTTGAAGGTGAACACCAGAAGTAGTTTTTTAATTAAAAAGACTGCTAGCTTTGCACTGATTCTATACAAATTATTGACTGGAGACTTGATACCACTCTGTGTGTGTATTCACTGGGTCACTGTTTTGCTCCTGGTTCTGTTCAGTCAACCTTGAAGTTCTAGTAGAAGATAAAACAAATCCTGGAAGCCTGAAACCTGCCAGTCCTGCTCCGTACTGTGTTAAATAATATACAGTACAAAGGGGTAACTTTGAATATGATGGAAATGTCTCTTTTCCATCATTGTGAATACCAAATCTCCTCCTGTCTGAATTAAGGGGAATGGAATGAAGGACTTCCAAGTGAGATTTTTCAGCTTTCTAGATGATTTGCTCCAAACATCTCTGCTTTTTAAATTCAAGCATTGCTGTATGATACTCTGCCAATCAGATAGCACATCAGGCTGAAAGAATTTGCAGCAGGGAATGCATTTAGTCTAAAGGAGTGAGCAACTCCCTTCTTGCTGTATGATACTCTGCCAATCAGATAGGACATCAGGCCTCTGGCTGAAAGAATTTGCAGCAAGGAATATATCAAGTAGTTTAAAGGAGTGAGCAACTCCCTTCTGATTCACTCCTCCCTATCTTTTGATATATATATATAGAGAGAGAAAAAATAAATTGGAGAACAAGCCTGAGAACAGGGCTGGAATCTATTCTCGTTCTGAAGGCTGCAGTGAGAGTGGCTAGAAACATGGTGAGTGTGCCTAGAAAGGCTGGGAAACTGGATGACTAAATCAAAGGAGGACTCCCAAGCAAGGGGAAATCCTAGGATGGCAGACAGCCACTTCCTTGGCTGCTGAACAAAGTAGGAGGCAAGTGGGCATGAGGTGTGGGTGGCGGTGAGGGAGGAGGGAGGCTGCACATCGATGGGCTCTCTTTGGCTACATCCAGCTGGCTCAAATCAAATCACTTCACTTTTGAGCAGAGAAAGCAGTGCCCGTGATGGAAATGCCTAATTTATTTTCCACTCATGTCAGCTTGTGAAAGAGAACCATAGTTTGGAGATTTATTACTTCTCACAGTTAGCTACTGCCCACCCCATCCTGCATTGACAGCTTTTCATCTCAATTTTCTGGTTCACAATCTAACATAAGAACTTTTCCCCACTTCATAATTTTCTTCACGAACACAATTTAGGATGCTTTACATGCTTTCAGAATGTATGTTTGAAAATATATCTGGATTTGGAAACACAAGAACACATAGCGTTAGATTAGCACTATGCAGAATTTTTGGAGGTGCAACAAATAATT